TGTAAACTCCTGTCACAGCCCACAAGACCCAACAAATTCAGCCCTTAGCACATACTGTTCCCTCTATCTGGAATACTTTTCCTTCTTTCCTACTTTACCTCTGACAGTCATCTCCTTCACCTTGCTGACTCCCTTTATTAGGGCTTAATTTAAATATCACCTCCTCCAGGAAGCTGTCATGATTCCAGTCTCCAGATGAATTCAAGTGACAATGCCACATACCCATAGCACTCTGTGCATTCTCAGGCAGCATACTTGTCAGGCTAGATAGCAACTGCTTGTTTAATTGTCCAGGTTCCAGCGATATACTGTAAACGACATGAGGTCAAGAGCCTTTTCCATTATGTCGTGATAACAATAAATCTGGCGAGCAGTCAATTAAAATGGGTTTATAGAATGGATGGAGAATGGATGAATGGATGAACAGATAGATGGAAAAAATGACACCCCACCCTTGGGCTGGCAGAGTGGCTCAACTGGTAAGAGCACCTACTTAGGAAATGTGAGGCCCTGAGTTCAAAACCCAGTACCATAAAAAATAAAATGATACTCCCTTGAAAAGGTCTTCCTGGACTCCTATGGGCAGATCATTCTTTACCTATACTTTATAACATGTACTAACCTCTACCCAAGCCTTATATTATGCAGCCATACAATGAGGAAAACAGTAGTACCTACTTCAAGGGGGTTGTACTATTAAATGGCATTAAGCCATGTAACAATTTTAAACTCATGATAATAGGTTGTTAAGTTTAAGTGAGATAATCCACATAAAGTGCTTAGAATGGAATCTCGCACTTAGTAAGCACTCAAGAAAACCAAAAACTTTTTGGCTTCAATTATTACAATAGCATGTATAACTGCCTGTGTCCCCTACCAAACATTTGGGCACATCACCACTCCCACCTTGCAGTGCCTAGCTAGATGTTTTCAGTAATTGTAAAAAAAAAAAAATGCAGATTTGCCAGTTAGTAACTAAGGCACAGCACCCCCTTCATCACTCACAAACACAGACACACACTAGCACAGTCTCTTACACATCCACATCTACTCACCTGCATTCAGAGCACCTCAAAATACCAAGAAACTGCCAGGAAACTTCCCAAGCCCAGCCATGCATAAGTGATTTGCCTACCTCCTTTCTCTTTTCCTTCCCTCCAAAACATCCTAGCACTTATCCCCACCCCTGGGATGAGGGGGCTGTAGGAGTGACCCCTCACATTCATATCAGGAAAAGCAAAGTCAGATGTGCAGTGTGTTGCTTGCCCTCTCCACTAAGGCCTCGTTCCTGTCCTGTCCCTTCTTGAACACTCCAGCCCCTTGTCTTGGCTGGAGGTTAAGAAGAGGCCTTGGCCACAAAGTGGTTCAAGCAGTAGAGTGCCTGCCTAGCAAGTACCAGGCCCTGAATTCAACACCCAGTACTGCCAAAAAATAATAAATAAAAAAAAAGTAAAAAGAAAAGGCTTGGGAATCAGGCATGGGGGTGATACACACCTTAATCATGGAACTTGGGATGTTGACACAGGATCCCAAATTTGAGGCCAGTCTGGACTACATAGTGATACCCTGTATCAAAAACTAAAAACAACAACAGGCCAGGCACAGGCACAGTGGTTTATGCCTGTAATCCCAGCTACCTGAGAGATAGAGATCATGAGGATCATGGTTCATGAAACCCTATTTCAACCAATTGCTGGGGTGGTGGCATATGACTGTCATCCCAGCTACCAGGGGAAGCCCAAATAAGAGAATCATAGTCCAGGCCAGATTACATAAAGTGAGACCCTATCTTAAAAATAACCAACACAGGGTCTTGAGTTCAACCCCGGCAAAGCAAAACAAAGCAAAAACCCAAAACCATAAAAAGTGCCCATAGAGTGGCTCAGATGGTAGACCGCCTGCCTTAGTAAGCTGAGGCCCTGACTTCAAAGCTTAGAACCACCAAAAAACAACAGCAACTACAAAAGCAACAAAAAGGGCTGGGGCCGTGGCTCAAGTGGTAGGGTGCCTAACTAGCAAGAGCTAGGCTCTCAGTTCAAAAAAGGAAGGAAGGAAAGAAGGAAGGAAGGAAGGAGGAGGAAAGAAGGAAGGAAGGAAGGGGAAGAAAAGAAAGAAAAGCAAAGAAAGAAAGGCAACAAAGAGGCCCGGGAGTCAGAACTCTAGGCTTCCTTCCTCTCTCATCTAGGCCCATTGCCCCTCTCTCCTAGTGCCAAGTACAGCAATCTTCCTGACTGGAATAGGAGCCCCAAGGCTTGGGGTGGTGAGCGGGCCTTCTTAGTCTTGAGGTGAAATAATTACATGAACTAACCTTTGCTGGATGCATAATAAGGGTCCGATACCAAGCCTAGCATTTTAAATACATTGTATCTCAATTAATCTTCACCACTACCCTTTTTCCCAAGAAAGACCGCTGAGGCCTGCAGGTAAAGTCATTTACCTAAAATCACCAGTTTAGTTTGGCATGCAGGTCTTTAATTCCAAAATCTTGGACTGCTAGGCTTTTGAGAATGGAGAAAACATGGGAGAGTCTCCAGGAATTAATAGGAGAGGCACCCCTCAACACAGCAATCCCCCGCTCCCCCGCCATCAGCCCGGCCACGTCTCCCGGCAAAAGGCGAAGGGCGGGCAGGTGCGTGGGGTGGTCTCTTTCGCGACCTGGGCGGGGCCGGGGCGGGGCCTGGAGAGCCCAGGGGAGGGGCGAGCCGATGGCCCAGGCTCACGGGCCAAAATGGCTGTTAATTAAAGTGCTGGCACCAGCTCCTCTCTGCAAAGTTTGAAGCCGTTATTTTCCACTCCAGCGAAGCGGGGAGAATCCGGCTGGGCTGACAAGAGACGCCACACCGCGCCAGGGGAGCGGGCGCGCTTTCGGAGCGGGGGGCGGGGCGCCGTGCCGCGGCAAGCGCGCGTCTCCGACGCCCCGGCCAGCGCGGGGGTGGCTGCTCCCGCCCCCTCCTCGGCCCCAGCAGCCAGCTCCGCCAGGGCTGTGGGTGGCAAATGAGCCCCAGCAGCTTAGGGCAGGAGAGGCTCCAGTGTATGTCCTGGTCTGTGTGAGGGAATCATACACCAGTATACGAATCATACTCCAGTGACTGCGCACGTGCCCTTCGGGTCACTAGTCTTGTCGCTGTTAAGGGAGTCACATTGAGATTGCCTCGGTGGATCAGAAAGGTCGGCTGACAACCGAGAGCTGAGGACTGCCCTTCCTGAGTCTGGCTGGGGAGGCGTAGCTGCGCTAAGCCTTTTCTCTGCACTTTGGACAATAAATAGTATTTAGAGACCCCATCGCGTTGAGGTTGGAAGAACTGGGAGCCAGCCTGCGGGTTTCAATCCCGGCTCTGCCATTTCATACTTGTGTGAGTTGGTGCCAATCTCTTAACCTTGCAGAGCAGCACTTCTCCATCTGTAAAATGAGAATAATGATGGGCTTTACATCTGGATTGATGTGAAGATCAACTGTGATCTCATTTATGTGAAGCATTCAACACAGGGCCTGGCACACAGTACCCCTGAATAAATGCTAGTTATTGAATTTATTATATGTTTTAGCTCCGTCCTTGGCTATAGGAGTCACTTTCGTGGGCTTGGAAGGTCCTGTAGCCCCTCATCAGGCCCTTCCTCCTAGCTCTGGGCTAGGGTGAGCAATCTCAGCCTTGAGTAGAGAAGGCAGGAGAACCATATGAACTGTGAGAGGTCAGCAAAGAGAAATTGTGGGCTGGGAAAGACCTCGACCTTTCTTGAGAGAAGAAAGAGGTTGGAATGTCATTTTGTTAGAGGCCTCAGAAAGGCAGACCCCTCCCTGGGGACTGGATAAAGGAGGGTGAAGGAGGAGCAGTGGCGCAGTACTGGGCCTCAAACAATGTGACAAATATTTTGATGGAAGCAGACACATTTCAGTTTATGCAACCTAAACACTTTGCTGCACTCGAGGAAGAGGGGGAGCCTTATACAACCTGAATGGGAGACGAGTTAGCGTGCCCATGAGGGGCTGAGGGACTGGAGGAGATCTCTTGGGTGTTGAAAAACAGGTCACCACCCAGAATGTATGGTCATTATGAAGATATAACGTGGGTCCCCCACCTTCTCGGGATCCCTATTTCTCTCTTATCTAGAAGCAGAGATAAGAGGATTGATCAGAGGGAGTCAAGGAAGGAGGCCCCAGGTAAAAGCAGCCTGGCAGGTAGGTGGTGAGGAAGGGGCAAAGGCGAAGAAGAAGGGTGAAGATCTGCCCAGTGGATCCTGGAAGAAAGTGGGTCCTAGAAGAGAGAGCGAGAGCGACAAACAGAAGCTATTGTCAGAACTCAGGTTCCGCTGGACATTCTGAAGGCAAACGATCCAGACAGTGATCTGCGAGGCCTGAGTGAAGAACGGCCCCTCCCTATCCCTTCTTGGCCTTTCCTTCTTCCTTTTCCTATCCCTCTTTCTGGTCCCTTCCCTCTTGCTTCCAGCTCAGTTCTCCTATCAAACGCTCACTCTGTCCCCAGAAAACAGGGAGCACATTCTCGCTACAGCCCCCTGCGGGTCGTGGTCCTTTGCCCTTCCTGTCCGTTTTCCCAGTGACATCCTCGAGGCCTCTCCTTCCCCGACCCTACTCTGCGTTCTCTAGCTCAGCCTGTAGCCCTCCCTTCCGTTTGCTTTTTGGTCTCTACGCTCCTCTTCCCTCTGGGATCCTCTCCTGTTTATCTGGCTCAGCCCCCTCACCATTTCCCAGTCTCGGGCCAGCTTTCTCAGTACCCCCCTAACTCTTCCAGAGCCAGCTCTCGTCTCAGAAGCCCCGCCTCTTTTCTCGCCCCTCCCCACGCCAGACGCCCGCGACCCAATTAGGCGTTGGCCCCGCCCGCAGCCCCACCCCTCGCGCTCTCCGAGAGCGCGGAGCAGGTGGGGCGGGGCCCAACGAAGGGGGCGGTGGCCCGAGAGCTAGGAGGCGGGAGGAACAGGGCACTGGGCAGGAGGCGGCAGCCCCGGCTCTCAGTCCGGCCGCGCAGCGGGAGGGAGGCGCGAGGTAGGAGTCGGCGGCTGGGCTCTGCAGCGCAGCCAGCGCAGCGCTGCGCCCAGGTCCCGGCCCCATGCCCGAAGCTCCGCCGGACCGCCCTTGAGCGCGGGCGCTGCGCCCGCGCCCCCGCCCGCCGGCACCATTGCCCCGACGGCGCGGCCGGGTGGCCCGGCTCTCCCCAGGCTCCGCGCGGGCAGGAAGACACTGCTGGCGGCCGCCGCGGGCGTGGTGATGCTGCTAGTGCTGGTGGTGCTGATCCCCGTGCTGGTAAGCTCGGGCGGCCCGGACGGCCACTATGAGATGCTGGGAACCTGCCGCATGGTGTGCGACCCCTACCCCGCGCGGGGCCCCGGCGCCGGCGCGCGGCCCGACGGCGGCGACGCCCTGAGTGAGCAGAGCGGCGCGCCCCCGCCCTCCACGCTGGTGCAGGGCCCCCAGGGGAAGACGGGCCGCACTGGCAAACCGGGTCCCCCCGGGCCTCCTGGGGACCCGGGTCCTCCGGGTCCTGTAGGGCCGCCCGGGGAAAAGGGTGAGCCAGGAAAGCCGGGCCTTCCCGGGCTGCCAGGCGCAGGGGGCAGCGGCGCCATCAGCACGGCCACCTACACCACGGTGCCACGCGTGGCCTTCTACGCTGGCCTCAAGAACCCTCACGAGGGTTACGAGGTGCTCAAGTTTGATGACGTGGTCACTAACCTGGGCAACAACTACGATGCGGCCAGCGGCAAGTTTACGTGCAACATTCCTGGCACCTACTTTTTCACCTACCACGTCCTCATGCGTGGCGGCGACGGCACCAGTATGTGGGCGGACCTCTGCAAGAACGGCCAGGTGGGCTAGGAGGGGGCATGGGGCTGGCCTGGGGACAGGGCACCCAGGGAGCTAGGGGCAACTACATACTCTATCAGAGTCGACGTGAGAGCCAGGCAAGCGTAGATGGAGAACCTAAAGGGGCCCCTTTAGGCATCACATAAGGGATGGTCGCAACTAGCCTGCACCCCTGATTTCCTATTTTCTAAGGCAGAAACTGGTGGGCAGCAACCACGGCGTGGAAATGCAGGAGATAAACCCACAGAGCACAGGGATCTGGGGCCCGCGGACTGGCCTTTGGGGGCTTGGCCCCTGGAAGGCGGATTCAGGTCGATACTAACTGAGAGACGAAATTCAGGCTTACGCCAACGGGCGGTAAGGGAAGAGCGAGGCTCTGGGGCACCGGTTAGAGAGAGGCAGCCTCTGCGCCCGGCGGCGCTAAGGCGCTCGACTGTGCGCTCAGGCTAAGGCGGGCTGCACAAAGGCAGAGAGAGTCCGGCGCGCGAGAGCCTTAGCTGCAGTACATTGCCCGCCCTCGAGAAGGGACCACTGGGCTGATCTGACAGTCTGCAAAATCCGAGAATGCGCAGCCCTTTCCCACTGTACCAGAGCTATCCACCGCAAGGCGGCCTCCAGGGAAAAGTTTTTCCTCCCGATGCAGGACGAAAAGATAGAAACTCCTCTCTTCATGGTCTCACAGATCCAATTCCTCTTTGCTTCTAGAATGTGTGTGTGTGTTGGGGGGGGGGTTCCTTTCTGTTCCCTAGAGTGAGCCGGAACTCTGATGCTGAGACCGCATGTGGGCAGCTCTCTCCTTGGAACCATTCACCCGGGGCTCGACCTCGACCCAATCCTCCTGGGCAATTTAACCCAGCTCCTGGCTACCATCTCCTTTCCCACTGCCCTCCCTCTTGGTGGCTTGGGACCCCAGGGGGCGTGGTCAGGCTGAGCGTTCTTTTGGAAGAAGGGACCTCTGGTCAGAACTAAAGCTGGGCTGCTGGGAGTTGGGAGGAATCTCCTGTGATCCAGATCCAAGACCTTAGAACCCCTCCCATCACAGTGCTACCCTGAGACTTGGGGATAGGGGAGCAGAAAGCCTATGAGGTGCTTGGAAGTTTGTTCCCTTTTTCCTCTCTCCTGCCTGCCTAATCTTCCCCCTGAGCCCCCCTCCCCTTTCTGTTTCTGTTCTCTTTCTTTTTTCTCTCTGTCTCATGTCTCTCTTTCCTGCACATTCCAGTCTGTCTCTCCCAGGGTTACTAGTCTCTGTCCTCTGGGTCTAATGCCTTCTTCTCTATTGACTGTGTGTGTCTCTCTCCCACTTGTATCTATCAAGCTTCCTGGTGTCTCTCCTCTTTGTCCTTGGTTCCTGACCAAATGGGAGGCCCTAGTATCCAGCAAGGGCTCATTCTGCAGACAGCCCCATGATTCCCCTTATTAATCACCAGTAAGGGATGCAGCAATGTCACCTTCATTGATGGAATTTCTTTCTTCCCCAAAGAAAGTTTGGGCTGGTACAAAGCTGAGGACCTGGGATCTTGCCAGGATTGGGAAGCAGTCACTAACTAGGCCACTGATGGACCCTAGACCCTGCACCACCTCAGGAAGTTGCAGCAGGGCTCCAGAGATGTGGCAAGAGAAGGCCCCAAAGATGGCGTGTGGTTAGGGTGGAACTTCAGTCACTTAGAGGTGAAACTGTCCCTGAAACCCTTTTTCAACACCCCCTCCACCAAGCAGGGGCAGGGTGTTGGCAGAGCCTGATGAAGGGAGGGCTCACAGGAGAGGGGACCACAGACCACTAGAAAAAAAGAGGTGGGTTTAACTGGTAGCTTCAAAGACCTCCTCTCAAAAAACCCAAGAGCAATAATGGGGCCTACAACCTTATCCCCCACATCCTTTTGTGACTTCTTCCAGATTGCCAGGGGTTCAACCCCTGACACTAGGACCTCATGACCTATGTAAAGGGAGAACAGAAGGAGTTGTACAGTAACACACCCCAATCAGTACTATGTTAAAGGTGGGCTGGGAGCCCAAATGGTGACTCCTATCCCCAAATATGTTGGCTGGGGGAGTAATTCAGTGGGGCCTACCCTGGCTCAGACCAACCTGGCAACAGGGAGAGGATGGTGAACCTGGGTCCCATAGGTGAAGAGACACAGCTAGAGAGCAAATAAAAGGTCAAGTGTAGGAAAAGGCTGGCTCAGAGGTGGATAAGGACATTTGAGTTAGCAGAGAAGACAATGACAGGGCTGGTCAATGGATGGGAGCTGAAGAGAGGAGCTTGTACCTTCCCTGCCTTCAGGATCAGGGCCCACCAGAGCTTTGTGTTCCTGCCTGCAGGAGAAGCTTCCAGAATTTCTTTGGGAAAGCAGAGCTAGATCTGTGCTCCAGTCCTTCCCCAGGACAACATGAATTGGGTGGGAATTGTTGCCACCTTCATGCTTGATCCTGAGACCCATGGCCTGAGGCCCACTACCCCCTCCCCCAGGAGTAGCGTGGCGTCAACCCCCCCTTAATCTGATGGCACCAAGCACTGGTCATTAGGACACAAGGAACCTGAGGAAAGGGCTCTAGGTTGGGGGCAGTGCCCTAGGTGAACTGAACTGTCTGAAGTTGCCTCTGTATCCCCAGTTTAAACTGGTCAGGGTAGACAGGAAATTGACAAAGTGGGCTAGGGGCAAGGGGCTATGTGGGGATATGGCAGGACCTAAGATTAGAGTGCTGCTAGTCTAGGGAAAGGGGCATGGGGAGGTTTTACAAATGTGCAAGGGCTCGGACAAGAGTGTGACGGGTATAAATCGAGGACTGTAGTGTAGGTATAAAGACCTAACTGGAAGTGAGCCTTTCACCTGGCGGCAGGAGAGAGCCCCCAGCTATCCTTTCTGGCCCCTACTATCTTTTATAGCACAGTGCCTGGCACAATAGGAACCTAGTCAATATGTGAAAACAAGTGTCCCCTGGGGGCCAGGCTGGCTGCCTGTGGGAGCCACACCAAACAACCAAGACCCCTGCATTAATGGGGCAGGGACACATTTCCTGAATTACCCCTGTAACACAGTTCCCCTGGTCAGACCTCAGTTTCCCTTCCTGGCAGCCCCTGAGGAGATGGTTCTATAGTGCCCCCTGGTGACAAGGCACAGACCTGCTTTCCTGTTTCCATGGCAACCGTTCCCCAACTTCCCCTGGGTTCCTAGGAGGAGTTGGATGCCTCAATGGCTTCCAGTCTTGGGCAGAGAATCGGGACCCCTGGGTTCTGTTCCTGGATCCCCCACTATCTAAGGATAGAAGGGCATAAATTCTCCCTGCCTCCAATGGATAATTAGGATAATTACAGCAACAATCATGGTGATGAATAAATAATAAACAAGCATAACAATTCTGATGCCTGTCACATCACCAGGAGATTCCTGATGACAGATGACTATATTCTAATGGATTTGGCTATTAAGGAGCACACTGTTTTAATGAGTTAAGGCTAAATTAATCTGGGTAATAAAAATAATTGTTATTAGTAGTAATTTATTAGCAAAGATAATGAAATGCATGTGTAATAATAAATACTACCAGGATTAGGGCCCAGGGAACAATACAGAAGTTGGCTGCTTGCTTTGCAGCTCTTCCTTAGTAACTCAAAGCCCCACAAAGACTTAATTTTTTTTTCTTTACCACCACAAGGATTTTGTAAAGGTGGTAGTGGTGATATGAGGTCTTCTCATCCATTTTTATAGACAAATTGAGCTCCTTGACAGACAGCATCTCCTCATTTTATTCCCTCCCACCTTTAGCTGGACAAGGAGTTTTCCCAGCTAATGAAACCAGACAGTTCCATCCCAGGTTGGGGAAGATGTTGAGGGGAAAGAAGGCACTGGAAGAATCTGGGCTTTGTGGAGAGCTGTGCAAATATGTTGGGCCATCTTCAATGCAGCATCACTGCTGAATCAGCAGCTTTGCCACAGCTGACCTGCAGTTCTGCCTCCAACCCTGGAGAGAGGTCAGGCCCCTCTAATTTGGCTTGGCTCAGTGTAGATATCTGTCCTAGGACAGGGGCAGACTGGGGAGCTGTCTTCAAAGAAGGAGCAGGATAGCAAGAGGTTATGGAAAAGCCTAGCTGAAAATCTCACTCTTTGAAGTCTCTCCCACCTCAAGGCACAATCTAGGAGAAGGCTCTTCTTCCATTCTCTATCCAGGATATCCTGGGGAGGTCCCAAATGCTAAGGCCGGCCTCAAGTTGCCTCAGCTGTTAGAGAGGAATGTCAGCATTAATTCAGCTGCCACAATACATCCCTGATGTCTTATGACTATAGTCAGAACCACCAAAAATGACAGCAGGTTTCAAATCCAAATGTTGGTACTCCCCTGGCCCATCACTCTGTCTGACCCTCCCCATGCCATTCAAGATAAGGACCAGCAAGAATGTCAGGTCACACTAGGATTGCAGATTGACATAAGACCCTGATTTCTTACTTCCCACCCAGTTCTTCTCTGCCACCCTGGGATGAGACAGGAAGAGCTTGGGTTGGCAGAATGGCTTAAGTGGTAAGAGTGCCCATCTAGCAAGCATGAGGCCCTGAGTTCAAACCCTAATACTACCAAAAACCAACCAACCAACCAAACAAACAAAAAACCCCAATGCTGCCATTTTTTTTTAAAAAAGGAAGAGCTGGAAATTCTCTGACCAGGGTAATAGCCCTGCGGGCTAAGGTACCTAAGCAAATCTAAACATTAGAAGGAGATAGAATTACCAGGCCTTCACTCTCACCACCCCAGTGTAAGAGAGACTCTGGAATCCAGGTGCAGATGAGCCTTGCCCTAGAATCTGCCTCCCAAACACCTTATACATGATTGGAAGAGGGTGGGATGGGATGACAGGGTTCTCAGACTGAGCATCCTGAAGGGGCTGGAGGCAGAATTTCAGGGCCTCCAGATCTCAGCTGCCATGTGGCTGCCTCACCTCTGTCCCCTCTCACATCGCCCCCCCCACCCCCCCACCCCCGCCCCGGCAGGTGCGGGCCAGCGCCATTGCTCAGGATGCAGACCAGAACTACGACTATGCCAGCAACAGCGTGATCCTGCACCTGGATGCGGGCGATGAGGTCTTCATCAAGCTTGATGGAGGCAAAGCGCATGGCGGCAACAGCAACAAATACAGCACTTTCTCCGGCTTCATCATCTACTCCGACTGAGCCCTGGAGTTCCTCTCCATCCTCTGCTTTTCCTCCTGGGGCTCCCCTCCCAGGAGAGGCAAACAACAACCCATCCCCTACTCCCTAGCTGCCTGACCAAGGCTGTGGACCCTTCCAGGCTAAGACGCCCCCAACAGTCCCCACCACTGCCTAGGCTCTCCCACCGCAAAGCCCCTGGAGGCAGGTTGGCTGCTGGGCCCCAGCCTGTACTGTGTATTTGTACAATAGGACTGTTTCCTGCCTCCCCTCTCCTGCCAGCCAGCCCCAGCCTGGGGGAAGTTGGCTGGGTTGCTTCCTGGACAGGGATGAGCTGCCCTCCAGGTCCCAGGTGACCCCGCCAAGGGGAGGGGCAGGTTGCGGACTGCATAGCTTCACAACACCTGCAAATCCTCAGCCAAGCTCCCCATCTGACCAAAGCTATAATAATAAAAAAAAAAAAACAAAATCCACCCTGCAGGGGTTTCACTCTCTGCCCTGGGGGAGGGCTACAGGAGGGCATCATAGACTGCCTTCCTCCCCACTGGGAAGGGGTCTAGTGGAAGCCTCTGGGGGTAACCAGATGCCGGAGTCAGAGCTACTGAGGAAAGGAGCAAAAAAACCTAATGCCCACCACAGCCCAAATGGGCCTGGGCAGCTGGTATAGGAAGCAGCCCAGTTATATCATCTTCCGTGGTGGAAAAGCTCCATTTTTGCATTGCCAAAAATGGCACCAGCATTCCCAAAGCACAGGCAATCCTTAAACTGGGAGATCCAAGCTTTTGTCCCTATAACACTGTGTGTGACCCTGGGCAAGTCACTCCTCTTAGACTCAACTCTGGGTAGCGATAACCACAGAAAAGAACAAGTTTTGCAGTAAAAGCTGATTGACCTTGATCCTAGCACTTCACCCCTAGGCCTCATTTTTCTCATGAATAAAATATAGTTAAGAAGACCTACCTTACTCGACAAAGGGTTGAAAATATATACTGTATTTGCTCCATAAACATAGCTCTTATTACTTATACATCATCCTAAAGTTTGCAAAATGCTTTCAAGTCTGTCATCTTGTTTTCCAAATGGCATGAAAGCTGGATGGGTAGATATTTCTCTTCCAGGAAGACAAATGTGACCCAAGACACACTTAAGTTTCTTTGCCTTGCCACTGCCTCTCACTTCTAACTGGGGGACCATGACAGTCACATAATTAGAGGATCCTAAATAATTATAGCTAATATTTAGAGAGCACATAGTGTGTCAGACACTACATAAACACTTTATAAATATGTGTAGGGGGTAGGGAGTGGATTCATGGGAAAAGCTCTCATACCTTATCTTATCCATTTTATTTATATATTTATTTTGAGATGGTCTTGCTATCTGGTCCAGGCTAGTCTTGAATTTCTGACTCCCCTACTTCAGCCTCCCAAGTGGGTGGGACTACAGGCGAGCTTCACTGTGCCTGATTGTTTTATCCATTTTAGATGAGAAAACAGGCTCAGAGGGGTTTCATAACTTACCAAGATCACAGAGCTAGGAATATACAAATGCCAATATTTGAACCAAAGATGGTGCTCTTACCCAAATACACCATATTTCATAAAAAGCTTGTATTTCCAAAGCAGAACTGAGGCTGGTATTAAGGTAGCCTAGCTCCACCCTTCCACTCCTGCCCCAGCCCTGCAGAGGCCTGATGTGTTTATAAGCATCTGCCCTGGGCTACAGCCATGGGGTAAGGCTTTTGGAGAACCCCAAGGCTCTACATTGAGAAAAGGTCCCATCTGGCTCCCCAGTCTGGCTCAGCTGAGAGACAGGAAGGAGGGGAAGCCTCCCTCCTAGCCAGGTCCCATGTATGGACCCTTGTCATGGCTGGCAGACTTGAATGACTTTCTTTATCCTCCCTTCTCTCCTCTACTCCCCCCCAATGCCAGCTGTGGCCATTTAATAAAATTAGCTTAATGCTTGTTCCTTCCCTGTGGGGTCTGGAGATTGAAATCTGCGGGTCCCCACAAACCCAATAAAACCCCTGGCAGGTCTGGCTGGAACTAGAGTCTCTGTGGAAAGAGTGATTAGATTAGAAGGCACTCCTCCTGTCCCCCAGTGCTGCCTACAGCTCCCTGTGATTCTTTAATAGCCACATTGGCCTGGAATTACCAAGCCACTACACTTGGGGGGCTTCCACTGTCACCCCAGAGGCCACAGGGACTAGCCCAAGACCTCTGTTACAATAAAATAATAATAAAAAAAAGGGCATGTTAATCATTTCTGTAGTGAGTGGCTGGCTGGCTGGCTGGCTGCCTTTTCTTTTTGATGACTTGACAATCCTCATGTCATTTTTGAGAGATGGGACTGAAATCTCCATTTTGCAGATGAGAAAATCATAGTTGAAGAAAATTCATGGCTTGCCCGTGGTCATGGAGTAAGGTTGTGTCACAGCTGGGATAGGACTGAAGCCAAGGCCTCTTTCTACCTTTGCAGGGCTCCAGGAGTGTCCTGCACTGCAACATCCCAGCTGGGAGGAACCTACTGGGGAGGTATCTGTCCATCAAACAGTGACTCCCTAAAGGCAAAGTCTGTTTTTTCTCACAAACTAGGGACACCTGAAGGCAAGATTTGTGTCTCCTTTATCCTGACTAGGGGACCTCAAAGACAGACTGTATTTTCTCCTCAGATTGTTGGCACCTTGAGGGTGGGATGCATATCTCCACTTCAACCAGGGATTGAAGTGCAGAAGCTGTGGCTCCCACTAATGGTTCTGAGCAGACACTAGCTTAATTGTCTGGGGTTTTTTTTTGTTTTTTTTTGTTTTTTGCAGTACTGGAATTTTAACTCAGGGACTACACCCTGCGTCTCTCAAATTATTTGCCTGGGCTGGCTTTGAACCTTGATCCTCCTGATCTCTGCTTCCTAAATAGCTAGGATTATAGGCTGGTAAGCCACCAGCATCCGGCAGTCAGGAGCTTTTCTGAGAAACATTCCAGGGAGCAAGTCTGGGTGGGTTGTGGAAAGAAAGCTGGACAGGCAGCTTGGCAGTTCCACTCAAAGAAAGAAACTGCTTCCTCTTTAGAGAGATGTGTGATTAATTAATGAGTAATGTCTCTGCCAAGAGGGGAGTGAGGGTGGAGGTGCCCCTGGAGCTTACCCACACAGGAATGGCAAGCCATCCTGTGTCCAGGCAGCTGCCAGCCCTAGGGGCTGGTGTTGCTCTGGGTTTCTGGGGTTACGGAGACCAGAAGGGGCACCAGGGCCTACCACTGTGGGCTGCCCTAATTGGATGACTTTGCAGGAAGGCCAGGCAGGTGTGCTCGGTTCTCTGCTTCAGCTTCCTACAAACACATCTGCCATGGCAAGGTCTAGGGGTTAATTGGCTCCTGCCTCACTCCTGGTAACCGATATTTCATTTACTGCTCAGAGGGAGAGCTGCCCAGACAATCAATCCCGGACAAGCATCCAGAAAGCAGGGGAGCTGTTCCAGGAGGAGTTCTGAGTCCCGGAGGAGAAGGCAGGAGGCGAAGACCTAGAGAAGGTGGCCAATTGCAACTCTGAACCTCACTGGAGTTCTGCTGAGCCCCACAACAGCCCCAGGACCCCTAAGGATTGGAAGAAAATCCCAGGGGTCCAAAGGCTTCCTGACCCCAGCTAGCCATGTTGTTTTCCCAGCCCTGGTTGCTTCTGCATTTATTTGAGTAACCCCCCTACCCCCCCAGCCCCATAAAGCTGTGGCAGGTTAGATGCTGTTAATAAGGTTATTTTCACAAGTGATGTAGGTATATTTGAAAAGCGGAATTGGAAGTGTGAGCTCCTCACTCCCTTTCAGGTAACAAACATTAAAATCCTACAAATGAGGTGATAATAAAGTGGAAGTGTAAAAGTCTATGCATGTTTGGAACAGGAAGGGAGTGGAAGGGTTACTGAGAAGTGGAAGCTGGGAGCTGAAGGAGAAAGGGACCCAAGGGCCAACCCTGTCCCCATATTTTCCATTGCTACCCATCTACCCATTTGCTGAAGCTGAGAATCAAAGCCACAGATGGGCAAACTAAGGCCCAGAGAGGAACACAAGGTTGCTCAGGTTGGTTCAGGGCAGAGCTAGAACTGTAGTCAGCAGAACCCAGTGAACATGCAGAAGTGGAGACAAAAGAACTGGGTTCAAGTCCTGACCCTGCTTAGGGTTTCAGGAAAAGACACTTCATTTCTCTGAGTTCCAGTTTTCCCATCTACAAAATGGGGCTGCCTAAATACAAGTACCTGCTTGAAGGGCTGCTGTGAGGAGGCAACAAATGAGAACCTATTTTGTAAGTTACAAAGCATGATGTAAATGCATCATTATTATTGTAGCCCTAGTCTATTGAGCTCTATGATTTAAAGTTCTTTGCACTGCACTTCAATGCTAGGGATGGACAGGATGGTCATTAAAGCAGATAAAGACACCTACCTCGTTCTACTGTCGAAATGCCAAACCCCACAGGGTGTGTGGGATTGCAGGGGAGGACTTGATAGAAGGCACCCAGGAGGCAGAACTCAGTACGGAATACAGAGTGCCCTGGGTCTTCTAGTCTCCATTATGGATTCTCCTACCCTTCTGTTCTGTGGCCTCCAATTGGGGTGAGAACACAGGGACACCCCCAAGGCCCTGGCCCATGCATCTGTCCCTGACTTGACTTGCTCCGTTGGTTTCAATAAATATTACTGAACACCTCCTATGGGCAAAGCCCTAGCATCGTGTTGAGGATCGAGAAATGGATGGGGAAGCCACCATTCATCTGTGTGAACCATTAGAGACATCCAAGACATGGTTGCTTTAGAGGGCATGGAAGGCTTCACCACCTGTGAACAGTTCTGTGGGAACTGGACTATGTGGGGCTTACATTCTTCAATTGTTTAATGTTTGGAAAGGTTTTACAATAAGTTTATATGCCTCTAAAATCTGAGCCCCTATGCCTGGAGTTGTTGCTGAAGCTAGCCTTGGGGGATGGGAATGAAGGGAAGAACCCAAGCAATATAGGGTTTTCTCTCCTCTCATCCAA